CCTATGCTTTCCTACACAAAATGAAAACCAAACAAAAGACAATTCACTTACCTAACTTTCTACATGAAAAACAGGAGAAAACGTAATCAACAAAAATGGCTTCTCACGCCTACTAGGCTGCTGCAGTGAAGGATATATACAAGGTGACCAAAATACTCAATCTAAAATGCTACTTTACAAATCTATTTACAAAATGAATATACCAACACCAGACACATACCCACACACGATTCCTTTCCTGTCTGCGTGTCGAGGTTGCGTCTCTGTAGTTTGTTCTTCAAGTCTCTTCTGTCTCTTGGTCCCTCCACCCTTGCTCAGGGTTAGGGTCAGCTGTGGGACAGATGGCCTCACTTTTGACTCTAGAATACTTCGGTGTAAAGGGCACCGGATAGTGCCTAAACATCATCTCTTCACCATCATGCTTACATTTGGTTTTCTACAAACCTGGAGCTCTTCATTAAGGACAAACATGTTCACTTTGTTATCATCTATAAAAAGCATTCATGGTTCATATCCGGCTATATAAATAAACTTTATATAGTTTTGTCCACTGTGAATAATGTTTCTCACTGCATCATCCCATTGTCTGTCTACATTTTAACCCCATATTGACTGATGTTGTTCAATTAATTGACTACAGTTGATCAGCAGGAGCTAGGTTTTATGTTAAATAAATCATAACACTGTTGTAAAATGTTGCATTTAGCTGTTCATCTGAGGATGTGTTTATCTAAATGTAATACATTTTTTAAGGACCAAATAATTTTAGTTCATCTGCAAAAGATGTAGGCAGCTGGGGGTTTCCATGACGCACTGAGTGTTTCTCCTTCACTCACTATGTTTTACTGTAAATATTTCACTTCAATCTGTCAAAGGAGGTGTGCTGCTGATGCTGTGCAGCTCATGTTGTGCTTTGTTGTTCCTTTAGTTCAAGAAGTGGAGGTGGATACAGGTGTGAGGTCTGCCAAGCTGCCCTTCAAAGCCACAGTTCACCTGTCTCAAATAAATACGGTTGTGTGGAAGAACAGAAATAACAGGAACGTCCATGTGTACGAGAATGGCTCTGACCATCCAGAAAAACAGGATCGACATTACAGACACCGAACAGAAATTAATAAAAAACTGCTGAAGACTGGAGACCTCAGTCTGACACTGAAA